AGGAATTTTTGAATGACCCATAATTTCATGCTAGAAATGCTGTTTCCAACAAAATGACTACATAATGTCCAGCTCCTGGGAATTGCCCTGAGCTGAGTCTGTTAATTTTGAGAATGCTGGAAAAACATGTCAAACACACTTCAGCACAAACCTGAGCTTTGAGCAGTTCAATGGGGAAACTCACAAATAGTCCAACACCCTGATATATGGTCATCAGCCAAGTCTACAGTCTCTCAAACAAGGTGGGGCAGAAAAGCATGTGCTCTGTAGCTAATGAAAGACACAATATGGAGTGACTTCATTCCCACTCCTCCCAGGCGTGGGTTGGGGATTAATGACCATAAGACCCAGCCTGAAAGGCCAGAACTCCTGACATGTTCATATGTCTTCTAAAATAGGAGACCTGTAAGGATAAGTGTTGCTGAAGGCCAGAATATTATTTCCATATGGATAAAGGTGCATGAGAGAGTGGGTGGATTTGCTTCATTGCTTAAGTCATGTAGAAAGCAATGCAGAACACTCAAACTGCCACGGGAGTGCTTTGTGGTCCATGTCTTGATTTTCTTTTTTTTTTCTTTTCTTTTTTTTTTTTTTGTTCAGACCTTAGCAGAAGTGAATTGGAAAACCTCCAATGTGGACAGCATTTGGAGGTGTTTTCTCTTTTGCACTTACAGCTTTGGTCATCGTTTCCTCCTCCTGCTGGTCAGAACTAGTGACCAGGCTGAATGTACACCCCTACAGAGGTCTTCATTTCTCTGAGAGTGGGAGAAGACATTCAACTTCAGCCAAGCTAAATGAAATGCACATTCCAGGGCCTACTCAGAACCAAGGAGCCAGAAGTTCTGAAATTAGAAATGCCCAAATTTGCACCTTACCAAATCGCTGACCCACAAGCTCCTAGAACAAGCAGAGGAGTCAGATTCATCTCATTGGAACATTCTTTGTGATTTCAGGTCAGGGGTCTGTCTCACGCCTCGTCCTTGGTCTCAGGTAGGGAGAAGAAATGAATGTTTGGGGGCATCTCATTACTAAAGCCTTATAAACCCAGCGCAAAAATTTGGGGTCTGGCCTCCTTCACATGTAGGGGATGTTGTCATACCTGGCTTGCTGCCCCAGCTGTCTTAATGAGAAGTCAGTGTTCCTTTACTGTCCTCACCCATCCCTGCCCTTTTCTGGGGCCCTTTCAAAGGATTGCCAGGTCACCACGACTGCTCTGCAATGGCTACCCCTGTGGCTGGAACCCAGGATTCTCAACTGTATGAATCCAAGGACACTTCTGATACATTAATCACTCGGATATATTCATTTTTATTATTGCATTCATTTTTCCAAAATGTCATCAAAGGTTTTTAGACAATTAAACAGATTGAGGAAAATGATTGGTAAGGCTTGAAAATATTCTCTATTTCTCTACTGGACAGGCCATACCTGTGTCTTAAAAATCCACCTATACCCAATCAATTCAAACTGAGACTTGAAAATTGTAATGCTTTCCTGTGTTGACAGGCTGACATTCTGACGCTTTTTTTTTGGCTCCTGTTTCCTGGCCATATGACAGTTTTCAAATGTTGCTAATAGTAACTGTCAAATACTTGAGATTCTTCTATTTTTTTCCAGATTAGTTTTAACTGCGTGCACTGAAGTCAGAGGGATGTGGCCAGGTCTGTCCCAGGTCGCCCCCCCCTCCCCATCTGTCCTCTTGACACCAGCCTCTGTACCCATGACAAAAGCTGGTCAGCCACACTCAACATTCCCCTTTGGTGTAAGTTCCAAGGAGGGGGAAAGGGCTGTCCCTGGGCTTGGTCTTTTTTTTTTTTTTTTCCTTGTGGCCATCATGGCAAAGAAACCCTGAATTAATTCTGGGTACATGACTCCTGCCACATGGCTTTTTAAAAACAGAAATTCCACATTCAGGCATAGCCACATTTTAACCAAAGATTGAAACCACATTTAAAAAAAAATAAAATACAGGGTAGGGGGAAGAAATTGGTCAACTTGGTCAGATAATCCAAGCATTTATCTTTTATTCAAATATGAATTTGGGCCATCCAAATTCCTTTGAGATTCACCTTGTCTTATAAAGCTACTGAGATAACAGTCGAGTCATTCAAAAGAAAAAAAAAACTTTTGAAATAGTTTAAAGCTCAAAAACCATAAAGGTATTGGGAAAAAACATAAAGTAATAGTTTATAACTTGGGAAGGACAAAATGTTCCAGAGCAAAATCTGAATTCTAAATACTAAAGAAAAATATTGACTGCTTTGACAAAATACAAACTAAAAACTCCTAGAAGCTAAAAGCACCGTGAAATTTTAAGACAAATGTCAAGTAGGGACGGGCATTATTTGCAACATGTGACACATGAGTTAATATTCTTATATATAAAAAGAGCTTGAAAACCAATCAGGAAAGGAGGAAAACCCCACCAGGAAAATGAGCAAGCTCACGAGCAATTCACGAGGCAGGAGAAAGAGGACGGGAAGGGTGTCCAATAAGAACAGAAAAAGATGTTTCCCCTCACTAGTAATCAAAGATCTGCACATTCAGTGAGACCATCTTTCACCAATAAGATTGGAAAGCATTAAAGCAACTGATAATACCCAAGCTGGTGAGTAGGTGGGGAAAGGTGCACTCTCAAACCCAGTTGGTAGGAACATAAAATAATGTATTTTCCTGAACAGCAATCCAGTGACATGTTTTCCAACCATCCATGTGCATGCCATCTGACTCAGAAATCCTGCTTCTAGAAATTTATCCTGAGGGGATTATCAGACAAACTTGCAGAAATGTATTTATAAGGATGTTTGTCCCAGCACTGTTTAATAGAATGTCTTAAATGTGCATCACTGGGAGTGGGGTGGGGTGAAGTGGGGTTTGTATTGTAGTACATATAGCGTATTATTATGCAGTTTAAAAAATAGTAGTAAAGTCTATAGTCATAGATATAACTTTTATGATATGTGAACCAGTAAAAATAGCAGTTTATAAAGCAATACTCATACATACAAGGGGTCTGCAAAAAGTTTGTGGAAAGATATGAATTAACTTTTAATTGAATTTTCCCACAAACTTTTTGAAGTACCCTTGTATGCATAGTCAGAACTGAAAAGATACATAACTGTAAAGATTAACCAAAATGTTAATACCCATTATCACTGGGTGATAGGATAACTAACTGATGAAGCTCATGTTCTTCATCAAAATTTTATCCACTGTCTAAACTTTTTCACCATGAGCAAATACCACACTCATAACCAGAAAACAAAAATAAAATTAAACAAAGTTGCTTTTATTTTTGAAAAAAAAAAAAGATTTACTTTTTTTTTCCAAATGAAGATCTTTATGGATGGAGATACTTAGCCATAGGAAATTTTGTAGGACCAAGAAGGAAAAAGAAAATTTTGCAGTATTTCCCTTCATCTTGGGAAATTGTATACAGAATCTGGATCCCCAAGATTATATATATTACAGCTCTTTCTGAAGCCCCCTATTCTACTAGTGCCAGATTCTTACCGATTGGCAAGATGGAAATATAATTTGGCTTCCCAAGTGGTCACCACTATTGGTCTGTCAGATCTGTAAGGAAAACCTGACAGCCTGCTCAATAGCCTTGGACCAGCAGCCACACTGTGCCACAGAGTGGCCACCTCACCAGCATGCTGGTTCACAGGCTCTGCAATAGGGCCTGGCCTTAACCTGTGAGTTTCAGAGTTTTCTGGCTTTCCTGCCACTGTTTTATGATCTCAGTCTTAGTTTGGGACCCAAGAACACACATGCAGAAATAAAAACAACTATTGCAGTCTGAGAGAATAAAACTCTTTTAATTTTTGAGGTTTTAAATTGTCAGGCTTTTTTATGTATTTCTTTTTATTTGTTTCTTGTTTCATTTTTGCAAGATGACATTCAAAAAATTATTTTTCTCTGAATATCTCTAAGGTCCTCATTGGCTTTCTAGGCACTGGAACCCGTTAATGAAGGAGAAACTGATTCTCGGTCAATGTCAAGTCAAGTCAGCTTAATTTTCTTAAAATCGAGCTGGGGCAGAATGGTCTGTTAAAGGTTTATGTCAAGGTCAAAGACTTGGCTGACTTCCGTGTGTTTGAAAATCTCACCTAACATACCATTTACCCTGTGAAAGCTGGTTCTCCTACTTTTGAAAAGTTACTTGCCAAAATCTCAATAGAGGGATATTTTGTGTTAGCTTTTTCCAAATCACAGGTAAGTATATTTCTAATTGAATAACATCCTGTTATACCCTTTTGGAAAACATTTAAAACTAAACCAATGCTACACGTGGCAAGTCGGCATACAGATTAATAGCATGCATTCATTTGGAAAATTTAATAAGAGATCATATTCCAATACAGTTCCATACCAGTAAAAATGTTCATCAGAAGGCCCAGAAGTTCCTAGAAGGAGCCAAAAAATCAAAGCATTCACCTTTTCAAAAAGATTTTAATAGTATGTGAAAAGTGTTCTTGCTGAACTTTGTGAGGGGAGGGTTTTGAGAAATAGAAAGTGGCAAAGAAGGCAGAGGAGTGGCAGGGAGAAGGGTGATTTCTTGTATTTTCTACCTGGAAGCGGTACCCAGGGCAGTGATCCAAGCTTGAAAAATGCCAGCAAAAAATGAGAAAGGGTTTTTCCTGGTCACTAGAAAGTAAATCAAGGGGAGAAAGATGCCCCCATGAATGATGAGGCCCACGATCACGGTTATCATGTACATCCCCAGTTGCCTAGCAACCACTTCCAAGTCCTTGATGGCGATGATCTTCCCACAAATTAAGCAGGCGATACCCAGGGGAGAGTACCTGAAAAACACAAAATTAAAAAAAAAAAACATTGAAGAGATCATTGTGGCATTCAGAACTTTAATCTGAGCCCTAGTATGTACTATACCCTGAGGAAAACCCTTCGCTTGTCTGTACAAAAAAGTTTTGCTGAGAAAGGGTCATGAGATTCAATAGTTGTTATTTTTTACTTTGGACTAACTGCCTTAACTGAAATCTGCTTTATGGATCTGGTGGCATCTGCTCTGAGGAAAAGTCCAAAGGCAAACTTTGTTGCTAAGGTGAGTGTGATGAATAAAAGAGGCGTATACTTTACCATCTTTTAGGTAACCACCAAGGTAAAAGTTGAGAGATACGGATTGTGTCTCTGGAAGTCTTGTTTGATTTCTGTGTTCTTCAGTTCCCTCCTAGAAATTTGGGGATAACTTTTGAGCTTTTTGGAAAGCTATGAACTGAGGTTTGTAAATTTGCATTGTTTTGCCTTGGAAGATAGGAAATATATTAAAATGAGAGCGAGATGGGGATGTGGAGAGACGTGCTATGACAAGAAAACCATCCAAGCCTAAGAGCGTATTTAGAGAAATGTGGTTTTCTTACTTCTAGGTCTGAAAGCATTTTTCCACACTTACTCCAACAATAACGCTGGCCACCCGTTCACTATGTTTCAAGTGCTAGAGTTCCAACTCTCGCTTCACTTAATTCTGACCACAACACTAAAATCTAGGGATCATTATTCCTGTTGGACAAATGAGGAAACTGAGGTAGGGAAAAGTTAAATCATCAGCCCGAGACCACAAAACCAGGAAGTAAGAAAAGAACAATCTCAGGTCTGTGAAACTCCATGCCTGGGGGATTTTTTTCTACCAAGTCAAACCACTTCCCTTAGTAAGTAATCACAGCCCATGTAGATAAGCAGACAACTTACATATACCAAGTTATCCTACATAAACTTATTTTACATTTTTAACTTATTATAACTTTATAGAGAGTTTGGAAACTATTTTTGTCCTCACTCGTGGGAAAGCTAACCATTTTCTCTCTCATCTTAAGTATATTCTTTGCTGTTTGACAATATCCTCTTTTTATTGTCCAATGTGGTATTGCTGGGGCATAAATTTGTTCAGCCTGTGCTAGTTTCTGACTGAAATAAAAATATTAAAAATTATGAACATATTTGAGAGAAAGACTATAGGGAAAATAAAGTTCCCAAATAAATCTGCCAGCAGGGGGAGGGGAGTCAGAGAAGGCAGAGAAACACCTAAACAGACCCGTTTTGTTTTGTTTTTAATTGTGCCTGGAGCAATTCTTTTCTTAGGTTAAAGAAGAAATGTAAAGAGTAGATGAGAGTCATATGTACAATTTACATAAGACATGGAGCTTGTCCAGCCACTTACCAGGTATAGTGACCTTGGTTAATAACTCATTCCCATTTGACAGACATGAATGTCAAGGCTTAAAGAGGCTAATTTCAACCTCATGAGGTTGCTGTGAGGATTCAATTTTTGAACATGCATACGTGTGGACTGCTAAATATCCCTCCCCATCCCCATCAGTACCATTAGTTCTCTGACTTCTGACAAAGGAATCCCTTGTAGGTTCTATTTTCAGACATATACCCATGTCCTCGCATCCCCCAGGCTTAATGAGTTAAGTCTGAGTTAGTGAGGCTCTCTAGAACATCTCACAGGCTACCCAGTTGCAGATGTTTTTATGAACAAAATATTCTTTCGAGAGAAACCTTATCCTGAAAGAACTGATTTGTGACTGACACTAATTAGTTAAGACATTAGCATAGCTACTCTCTTCCCTAATAAGCATCTAGCCTGAA